AGGGGTTAGGATGGTTCAGGGTTTAGTGCGTAGGCTTTAGAGTAGTCATGGCGGTTGGCATAGCTTAGCAGCAACAGCAGTAGCACAGTTAGGGGAATGGGGGACCTTTCGATTATATACTGGGTTGCTATTTGGGAACGTATAAGTTAAAGTTCTCATAATACGGGTGTATAGTACATTTTAGGGTTTCCTAAGTACAGTAGTAAAAGTACATCTTAGTGTTTCCTAAGTATAGTACTTTAAGTACCCTAACCGCAACCCAAATTAAGGGCTCTACTTTGTTGAAACATGTATAGTCCCCCTTAAGTAGATAGACTATGGGGTATATGCGGATCTTATTTAAAATGCCCAAAGACATATTCTATCTACTTAAGGGGGGCTATATGAGCATTCTGGTTTTGCCGCATTCCGAGGAGTTGATGTTGAGATCCTTCATGGGCTGTGGGGCTAGGAGGGTCCAGATGCCGGCTTGGGGTTCAGGGGTTTAGGGTTTTAGGGTCCAGAGGTTTAGGGGATTAGGGTTTTAGGGTTTTGGGGTTTAGGGGATTAGGGTTTTAGGGTCGACAGCATCCTAGGGGCGCCCTGCATGAAGTCCGAAGACATCACATGGCGGATGATGGACATCTTGTGCGACTAAGGTAGCCAAAAGGGGCCATGATTTTGAGAACAAGCCATATACCTTAATTTACCCCCGCAACATTGCATAAGACCCCTTAACCGCTAAATTGGGCTTTTGGATATTTATTGAAGCAGTCGTACTGAACCCACATAAGGAATGCAACGCTATACAGTTGCTGATAGTGCCCCAAACCTTAAACCCTAAACCCCTAAACTCTAAGATGCTAAGCCCACCAAAAAGCGATGAATCCAGAGCCAAAACACTAAGCCCTAAACCAGCCACCCGACGCTCAGCAAGGCCCTAGCTCGACGTCGGCTGCAATCTGGACGGACGTGCAAAAATTAGAGGTTTAAGATTTGGGGAAAGCGAATGGAGGCTACTTTGAGGTTCAGGGGGTTTGGGGTTTGAGTGCATGGGGGTTATGAGGACTTAGAGTTAGGCTTTGGTGGGAGGAGGGGTGGAGTTTTGGGCGGCTTTGGGAGCGCAGGCTTTGGGCAGTAGAGTTAAAGCGTATGTATTTTCGGAGTCGTGGGCATGAGCCGACAATTTGGGGCTTGGACGCAAGGATCCGGTGTTATGGGTTTCCTGGTCTTTTTGGTTTCATGTTTGAGGTTGCCGTTTTATCTCTTGCAAGAACTTTTTAAACCCTTATTAGATGATAGTCAAAACTTGCACGGGCTCCATGGAACGTGAATCCTTGATTTGAGGTAGACCTGAAATGCATGGGCCTCCACCTAGGGTTTAGGGTTTAGGGTTTGTTTTTTGGGGCTATCCTTGGTTACCTCATGGTAGGCAAGTTCTAAACCATACGCGCAGCACCGAGTTACAAGTTGAAGACATTTTCCACACGTGTATTTGCGTTATTGGAAAGCCAGAGCACCCATTATTCGGGTACTTGGGCCTTTAAGGACCCTAAACCCTAAACCCTAAAGGTACTCACTCGGAGGAGCCCAGGTCGTGAAAGGTCGTAACCCCTATGTGGATGGGCTCTCACAGGTTGCCTCGACCCTATAGTCCCCCTTAAGTAGATAGAAAAAGGTTTTGGTCATATTATAATAGGATCCCCATATACCCCATATTCTATCTACTTAAGGGGACTAGAATCCTTAAGCCTTAAACCCTAAAACCATAGGATTCGGAGCGAAACACCATGCAACCCACCATATGGAGCCGCGCCGTTCCTGCCAGCCAATGAAAGATTCTTTCTGCCTTAAGGGACAGCGTTTCAGGCACCAAAAGTTGATGGTATTGCACGATGTGTACCACTTGTACCCTTAAACCCTACATTTCTCTCTATAAATATACCCCTAGAAGTGGTTTCACATCCCTATCCCTAAGGGTCCAAGGACCCAAATAATAGGGTTTTAGGGCCCAAATACTATAGTATTATTGGTATTTGGGCCCTAAAACCCTATTATTTGGGTCCTTGGACCCTTAGGGTTAGGGAGGAGTCGATGTCCTTGCGCCGGCGTGTGCTTGCGGCACTCAGCGCCCGCGCCTCAGG